GAGTTGTCTTTAGTTTCTTAAACATACTACATTTCTCCAGATGAAAAATTATTGAAGTATTGTGCAAAATTTCCCAGAGACAAGAAAAGAGGGTATGATTTGTGAAAGAAAACCTGCTTGCCAGACTGAAGTACTGAGTGCAACTCTCTGGTTTGTATTTCCTCACTGATATCTGCAGCACCACTCTGGCTGATAAACAGCTCCCCATTTATTGTCTGCAATTTGTGAGCACACCAGCCACTCTATCTTTGATGTGACTGAAGCAGCAGGGTCTGTTGTGTCTAGGAAATGACTTCAGACTATCTGTTCTGGCTTTGTATTTGTTTTTCAGCAATGCTGATTACCTACAGTATGAGGTGCAGGGAAAACGTCTTTGTATCTATAAGGAAGTCCAATTCATGGACTGAAATTTGAGAAAAGCTGACTTCTTGGGGTTCGAGAAATTAAAAATTAAATTACTTCAAAGCCACTTAGATTCAGAAAACATCTGAATGAGAGCAGACAAAAGAAAAAAGACAAAAATATACTTCATTCCCTTAGGCAGTAAGAAAGAAATGGTCCTATTTAACAGGGAGGTGATTTAATAGAGTAATATTTTAAAATTATTAATCCATAATAGGGACCACTATTACTCTACTGTATTTGCGGTTTTTTTGAAAGAGATTAAGATTTTAATTTAAATTAAAATTAACTTTATATACTGATTTACTTATAATTTACTTCTCCCTTTCAGCCAAGATTTTTTTAGCTTGTTATACTTTGGGCTTCTTTAAAGCTTCTTTTCAAACTTAATAGTAATTGGGTTTGGAGTGTGGGAGGTGAAGGTTTAAATCCGTCAGGATTTGAATTCTGGAACTTTCTTTAAAACTTCCCAGATAAAAGTGGTTTGAGCAACTATTTCTTGAAGCAGGAGTCAGAAATCTATTTTAACTTCTGGTTTTTTTATATTTGGGGTTTAAGTTTTTTGATTTTATTTTTGTTTGTTGGTTGGGTTTTTTTTGCTTGGTTGTTTCTTTCCTCTGCTGCAGAAATTCCCAACAATCCTCTCCAGGGAAGCTCCAGAAAGGAGTAACCAGAAGCCTTTGATCTTAGTGAATCATTTTTAGAGCAACATATTTTTTAAAAAATATTTTAAAATACAATTTTTAAAAATTATTTGTTTCTTCTCCAGCCTCTTAGTTCAACTTGCTAGAAGAAAGCTTCCTTCCAAAATACCTTTACATTAGCACAACTGCGATCTAACTCTTGTGACTGCAGCTGTGCTCTTAATGCTGTTACATGAAGGCCTGTCCCTGAAAGCTAATGCTGGCCCCGTTTCAATGTGGGGCCATTTTTCTGATAATGATGCAGTGTCATTTAATGACACCTTTCTTTTTTCTCACTATGATCACTGGATTCAGGATGTATTCTGTGGACCAAAGGCTCAGTTTTTTTGCAGAGACTGTGGTGTAATAGCCTTCCCCCTGTCATGCCATGAAACCATGTCCTGGGCTCAGTGGAGCCCTGTGTCCCACACTTGGAGACCCTGACATCAGTCATATTGGCTTTTTACCTCTTCTTAATCTTCAACAAGGAGAAAGTCACTTTCAACTCCCACTCGGTCTCTCTTCTTTCAGCTGGTGCTTTTCTATCTTGTTCTAAGGGGAGAAAATTACAACAAAGTGCTATTTTGTCTCCCTGGTCTGACAGTATTTCAATGATAGATTTACAGGTATTCATAAAGTCACCATTACAAGTAATTCCTCTTTTAAGGGTTGTACTGGGATTCCACATGGCCCTTGAAAACAGTAAATTAAGTTCTCTAGAAACCTCACTAGAAATCTGTTCACCATAAAGAAAAGAATTTGAAAATTCAGTGCAAAATAATTACAAGACTTTTCAGGATTCTGATAATTCAGAACAATTTTTTTTACAATGTAGAAAATAAGTTTATGTTGGTTGAATGTATGTAGGAGTCAGAGATTGGAAAGTATATTGTTCTAGGAGAGGAATAGTACAAGACAATTAATTAGAGGCTATGTCACTTTTGCTAAATGAAATTCTAAAAATAATCAATCTAAATGTACAGTTGTCTGTCAGCTACTATTTCAGGCGCAAAGATACAGATTTTTCTATTGCAAGTAGCCCACCCTCTGCACAAAGTGTGAGTTTTGGTGATGTTCAATAAGACTCATAGGGGAACTTGGGTTTTGTACTGATCTTATAAATGATGTAGTTCCACCCAGAGAAAAATCAGCTACAAAAGTGAGAAAATTGAAAGATGGGAAAAGACATCTCCAAGCAGCAAAATCATTCAAAAGATTGTCTAAATTGGAGAGCAAGAAGTATTCTTGACTGGTTTCATGTTGAAAATATAACTTAAAAAACTTGGAAAAACTCAAAAACCTGAGAACTATTACATCACTATTCATCCTTTCTGAATTTCACTTTAAATGGCCTGTGTTCCTATAGTGGGTGACCATACAGTCAGGGACTGTAAGATTAGGGTCTCAAGAAAAAGCTGGTGGACTCTAAAAAGCAAAGCTAGATAAGTGTTTGATGGTGTATGGGGTTAATGACAACAGTGTAATTTTTTTAACAGGAGAACTTGCTTCTAGGTAAGTAGATTTCCTTCCTTTAAGCTCAAACAGGAAGACAGAGAATTAGAAAAATACATAGCTAGTTGTTTAATGAAAAACATTAGAACTGCTTCTGATGGCTGTCAGCGTATCATTCTAATCTGCATATTGGTATTCATCAGTTTATATGTTCTTAATTGTAACTTAAAAATACTATATGATAATATTTTGATCAGGTTTGATTTACATCTGGAAAGGCCTACAAGATCCTTTGTAGAAAATATAATGATGAAGATATTAAAACCTGTGTTTTTTCTGGTACATCATAGCTGAAGAACAAATTTTCATAGAAAAATATGTTTCTTCAGATAGTCACCATGAACTCTGAGGCCCTGGTACACCTGTATCATCAAACAGATTACTTTCATGCTTGAAAATCTTCCTGTATATCTGCAAAGGTGTATTTTAGTTATGTAGGTTTTCACGTATAGAATGACTGACATCCATTTTGTTTGATCATTAATTTTATGGACCATCAACATGCATCTGGCACAGCGATGCTTATATTCACATGGATACCCTGAAGCTCACGGAGCTGTGTTATGTTCTTGGTTTTTCCAGTGGAAATGAATTTTTTCCTGGGCTGAGTCTAGCAGTGCACCTTTGAAAATACAGCCTATGAAGACTCCTGTTTTTTGTGATTTTGTTCCTGGTCCTTCTCCCTGCAGACCTCTGCTATAAAGAAGCCACCATCTTAATTCATTGTCCCAGTGCAGACCAAAATGATGGCAGAAGACATAACTGCTACATCAAAGACAACCCTGTTCTGCCAGTGTCAATATACTCACTGAACCGAGCATTGCTCATGTTCAGTACTTCTGCACCACTTTCATTTTTTTAAAAAAACAACATATTGATTTTATTTTCTGCCAAGAAAATTTTCTGAGCACAGTAAAATGGTTATCAGAGAACAAAATGATAACTTTCGTACTTACTGAATGATTTTTTTTTCTCTTGGAAAAAACAGTAGTACCCAAAAGTTGTCTAAATTTGGCGTATTTGAATCTGCAATGGTGCAAATTAAATACATTTTTAAATTATTACAGTATTTCAGTGCATTTATAGGCTTTCTTTTTAAAATCAGCTTTGTTTAATGTGTGCCATGTATGTAACTTAAATAAATTACATATTCTGCCCATTTTAGTATTAATCATAATCATCTGTGTGCAGACTAGAGAAATGTACCCTCTGCAAAACGGAGGATAACTTCTTTAATAGCTGTTCTCCCAAGATGCAGATGAATGGAAAAAATACAGTCAAAGTGATCTGACAATAGGTGATTTTTTACAGGGCTTTTTCCTGGAGCATCAGTCAGTGAAATATATAAGAGTACATATATTAATACTCTTAGTAAACAAGAAATTTGTTTTGAGCCAATGTAGGGATTATATAATAAATAGCAATTCACTTGGCATCACAGTGTTCAGCTATAGCTGTTCTGGGATTTTGACTATTTACAGACAAGTTACAATGTGACTTTTCACAGTATGAAATTAATCACATTGACTGTTAAAAAATAAAAGATTAATTGGTTTTATGTAGTGTTATATCATTTATTGTGGTAGCTGTTAAAAATAGATAACCAGAGGCTAATAGATGTTAATGATCCCTTTCGCTATTTAAAAAAATCAATGTTTCTTGGATACAGAATACCTTAATGTGCTTTTTTTTTTGCTAAAAGTGTTTGATTTAAAAATGTCCAAACAAATAAGTCTACATTCACAGATCATCTCTATTTTACCAGCACTTTAATTTTCATGTCAAGTTTGAAAAATATTTTCTGTGCAAATTAACCGTACGCTTCAAGGAAGGATAAAACTGAGCATGTTACTTCTTGTCTTCCAATGAGAGAAAAAGATATTCAGTACTTATTTTTTTCTTAAAATATTATTTTACATGTATTCATGAATTTTTTAAGGGCCACATCATATAGATTAAGTAACCTTTCTACAGCTTTTATATATTTATTTCAAACTTGTTGGAGAGCAGTTAGATTTTCAAATGTGAGTAATTAAAATTGTAAGTTATTGAGTTATTGACAAATACTGAGCTATTAATCAAGCTAAAAAATTCTACAATCAGGGTTCAGTGCTCTGAAGCACTGTAAAATGATAGTATTTGTTCAGTGATGCAAGTAGCCACAATTAAGCAGCTCACTTGACAAATGAGATAATTCACTTTATTTTGCACTTAATTGAATTGTACATGCTTGGTCACCATTGTCTCCTTCCCTTTAGTTTTGTTTTCTAGCCATTTAAACACACACATTTATTAAAGAGAGAGCAATTAAGTTGGTGTTGGCCATTGGGTCTAGAAATACAGACATCAAGAGCTATGCCTTAAAATATTGTGCAGGGTAAAAATCATTAATATCCCTCTAGAAGAATGTTTAATTTTCTTAACAAAAAGTCTGATAAGCATGTAGGACTCTGTCACTAACTTAAATCAAATGTGAAAAGGGAAAAAACCCTGTAGGATATTGCTATTAAATCACTTTTACCAAACAGAAATATATAGATGTAGTTTCTTCACATTTTATTTTAGCATTTGCATTTCAGCAATCCTATCTCACCTTTCTATCTTGTGTCCTTTTCTTTCTTTGTTTGCAGTCTGTTTATTATTATTCTGAATTTGTAACATCTCAGTCAGTTTTGTTTATTTGTTTTTAACAAACTGGTGTTGAAAACCTGAGTTCTGCATTTCATTTCAAGATTGCAAAAAACAGCATTTTCCATCTGGATAGGAGAAGCATCTTAATTAAATGCAAATATTTTCAACAGCAGTAAGAAAATAGGAAGATAATTGTAACATGTGATTACATTTTTCAGTGTCTCTAGTTGAAAAAGGTGATCTCAGAAAACCTAGATTCCTCCGAAGCAGTAAGAGGAATTTAATTGCGAACAGTCAGAGAATCCAACTATTTGACATATTTGTAGCTAAGACCATAGCTGGCACCAGCAAACAGAGGATTTCATCAGTATTTTAGCTCTGATGTATGAGGAGTTTTTTGTGACTAAGAAGTACCATGTTGAGTTTGGAAGACATAAGGCAGGCATGTGATATGTAGTGCAGACTCACTAGCTTGCTGAATTATGTTGTGTGGGGCACAATGCCCATAGACTTTCAGTTAATTCCTCCACAAGCATTTTGTATTTGCTGAAGAGGTCATGAAGTTTTGGGTATGTGTCTCCCAAGAAAGCCCCAGAAAATTGTACCTGCAGTTCTTTTTAGAAATTTCTGGGAAGACCAGATGTTCCTGCCAACATGGTTTCCCGCTCATGTCAATGGAAGGTAGTGATGGTGCGGTATTTCTCTTTCCCATTGCAGGCCCTACCAGTGTGGTCACTGTTCCCAGTCATTCTCCCAGCCTTCAGAGCTGAGAAACCACGTCGTTACACACTCCAGTGACAGGCCTTTCAAGTGTGGCTACTGCGGTCGTGCCTTTGCTGGTGCCACGACACTCAACAATCACATCCGGACACACACCGGGGAGAAGCCCTTCAAGTAAGTACTTGGAGCCATCACCCTTTGCCAGCTGAAATTAGAGAGGGACATGCATCGCTGCTATTCACTAGCATCACTGGCCCATACCAGCACATGGCAGATGTTCACTTGAAAGACAAGGTCAGACCTCCAGATAAATCTGTTAGCTGTGTTGCTAAAATCAAAATTAAACCAGGCTTGGGTTTGAGTGCCTTGCAAACCCTGGGCAATTTTCTGTGCTCTGATGAGAATTTGATTGTTTTAATTAAGTGACAAGCTGCTGCCAGAGAACTGTAACTGAAAATACAGTCAAGACTGGGACAGGCTCTACTGTAAGAATTATTACAATTCTTTGATGTCTATATGTTGAGGTAGATGGAGCATCACGTAAAAGCTAATTTGTATCTAATTAAGTATGGGGGCAAAATATGCCCCTTTTTTCTATTCTCAGAACTGCTGTATAGAAAATGTAACTCTGGCATGTGACAGAAGTTTGGTAAGATCATCATAAATTGACAGTGTTCAGCTGTCCAAGACATAAAAAAGCCACCTGGTCAGGATGGTTTTTAATTAAACAGATTCTGCTTATTTCTGCAGTCTCTGTTTACTGAAATTAAAGCCAAGCTCATACCTGACTCAGAAATTTTCCCTCTATGCTCACCTATGATCCAAGTGTATTTTACTTTCTGTTGTACAAGATGGCCTACCTAACAGGAGGTGTTCTCCAAGAGAGAATACAAATTTTTCATATTTGTGCCTATGTTTTGGCTGTACTGACAGGCACAGATTTTATGAATATCGTACCTGGAACAATCCCACTTTGGAAGAAAAATATTGTACTTATATAAAAGTATAACATACTGTTATAACTTCTTTTGTAAGCTACCTGATTTTCCTAGGAGAAATGGAAATAATTGTAGAAGGTGGTGTGTGTCTCTCCCAGTTCTTCAAGGACTGTCTGTCCTCTGTCTACTTTCGTCTATTTGTCATTCTTTTCTACTTTTGCCGTACTGTGCTCTTGGTCTGGTTAATGTAAGAGAGCTCAGCCTCGGGGCCTGTCAGAACCCCTCATAACAAGCTCAGTAGAGATACTGGTAGGGATGCTTTGCCTCCATATATGGTTGAAAGGAAGCATGGCCTCCATACATGTCTCTGCTGGGGGCAAGGGGACAGAACCAGGAACCAAATACTGCTCATCCAGTACAGAAGAGCTTGCATACCAGAAATCATGGCTAGGATAGCGTTGTAGGTGGCAAGACATGGAAACGCAGAGCATCTGAACATCGTCTCCTCTAGAGACAATCTGTTAAATTCTCTCAGCCCACAGAAAGTGAGCCAAAAATAGTGTGAGCAACCAGATTGATTTTATTTAGTTGCTGTGTAAATAGATTTTAGTAATTAATTGAAGAGGTTTCCAGGTCAAAATGGCAAATAGATTTCTTTTAATGTTAAGGTGTTACTTATGTGTAACCTTGTTGACTCCACTTAATTTTTTCCTTAACATCCTGTTTCTGTCATGTTTCCAATAGAGCTGCTATTTTACCCCATTTAGAGTAATTATTTTTCCCCTTTGGTTTACTATTTTTTTCTCCTTTTCCAGAATGGTCTTGACTACAGCACAGTTTCATTTGTGAAAGGGCTTAATGTATGTACAACAATTAACTAGTGGTCTGGGATCTGTTTGGGTTTTTTGCCCTGCTTATGCTGAAGTATTTAAGTATTCTGAGATGTATCTGTTCATTCTTAAATGTGCAAGGCAGAGGAACAAATAAATGTGGATGTTTTGTATTGCTTCTTTATGATGTATGGCATAATTTCATTCTTGTAAGATTTTTATTTAGTTTCTTCCTTAAACTCAGGAAAAGTAGTGCAAACTTCTGTCAGGAAGATGTGTTGCAGTAAGCTGACTAGTAATTGCACATGAAGTTAAAACTGGAGCTGTGGGTCTTCACATTCCTGTTAGTTAGATAAGGGCACACAAACGTCTTGATCCTGCAAGCTGTTCGAAAGGGTAGATTTGCCTCCCATGCAGGACTGCTTGCATTTGAGAGTAGAGGAGCAGAAAACTTACCCAGAAATCGATCTACCCTCTCTGCTGGAGGAAAAGGAGATAGCTGCAGCTCATCTTGATGTCTCATCACCATTTACATACTCCTTTGAAGAGGAGGGGTTCAAGATCTGGTACTAAGTAAGGAAAAAACCAACAAATTGTAGTAAATGAGAACCATAAATGGGACAAACAAGATTTCTGTATCTTGTTTGCTTGATTCAGGTTTTAATTGTTCACAAAGGGATTTTGAGTGTACGCTAACAAAATAATGCAAAACAGAAAAGTCCATTGAGATAGGGCTTCTCCTCAAAAAGGTCTGTATTTATGGAAATGTACATACTTCTGTTTAGTAATATTTTTACTATTAGCAAGAACAACCATGTATGGATATGGCTAAGTTACTTAAATTCTAGCTAAGTTATTTTAAAAATAACAGGGATAATTTTAAAGGTATTACTAGGTTCAGTTTCATAGGTGGAAATGGGCAGTCAATTGGACTTGCATATACTGTGAATGTAATCTCACTATTCCTAATGGAGGAAAGCAGTTATGTTTGTAAGTGGTATTTAGACACATTACAATGTGCATGGATTAAGCAGGCAATGTCAAACACTATGTGAAGTGAACATTTGTATACGTATTATTTTCAGAAGGTGGTTGTAAAAACAGTGAGCATAGAGTGACTGTATTTAAAAATATTTCAAACGTTTTTTTATTTAAGAGGAATTCTGTGACCAGTTAAAAAGCTTTTTCTGTGAGAAAGAGTTTTCCTTGTAGGTCCTAGGTAACTTTGGATGTATGATGGAAGACTTTTCTATTTGCTTTTCATTACAGATAACAATGCTAAGTGAGGTTATCTGTAGTCAAAGCTTTAGCTACATTGCCTGGACTGCAGGTCCAGTTAGAAAGGATTTGTTTTCATGTCATCGCAAGCTGTCAAGTCAGCCTCAGCACTGTAAAGGTTTTGTGTATTCTTATCTTACTGAAGTCTCCACTATGGCTGCTACTCTGGGAACAAAGCTCTTAAGCAAATGGAAAGGTAGGAGAAAAAGGAAAATTATTGGTCATACTAGTTTTCTTCAGTTTTTCCCCTACCCCAATCTCTTCCATTTCAGTAAAATTAAAGAGTAGTTAAGGGACTGGGGTACATTAATTTCAGGTTGAATGTAGATGTTGTACCTGCAATGACATTTCAGCTTTGTCCTGGTTTTTGTTTGGTTGTTTGTTTGGTTTGTTTGTTTGTGGTTTTTCTTGGGTTTTTTTTGTGTGTGTGCGCGTGTGTTAGGTTTTTTTTTAAAACCTTTTCAAATTATTTTAAAATTTAGTGTAAAATACAGTCCTTGAATGAAATCTTAAAATGTTTAATTTGAAAATATTTAATGAGGATATATTTTCCTAAAATAGATGGTCAGCATTTTCTTCACCCAAAGCTTTTTACAGAGGTTGACATAAACTTGAGTATTAAACCACTCCTGTCTAGAATCCTCAATGTCAAGATTGTGAAAGCACTGTGAAACAAAAAAACAGTCCACTGACAATGAGGGCTAAGTAACCAAACTCAGAAAACCCAGTGCCTTCAAAATATCCAAAACATGTAGATATGCATGTTGTTTGTGAATTTAAATATAATTTTGTTTACCACCCCAACCCAAACAAATCACTTAAGGAAACCTTGTGGTATAGTAGAATGAAGTCTCGTGTTTGATGAGGTTGAATGCTGCAGTACAACATTAAGTGGAAATTAAGTAGCTTTTCAGTTAATAGGTATCATTACTTTGTGAGTGGTCACAGGAAAGGTGGACTCTTTTTCCTTTCTGACTGTTTTGGCTACTATTCAACCTTCTAACACAACATTAAACATCTGCAGCTTGTTGTACAGAAACACACACACACAAAAGCATGCTCACACATGCTCACCAGTCTCATAGACATAGGTCATGGTAGTGGTTATTCTGCTATGACAGGCTAGGAAAGGATGGTGGATG